GCCGTGGAGCTGCACGCGCAGGTGCCACCGCCGGGCGGCGCTGCGTGCGAGGCTGAGGAATCCGAGCTCTCGCGGTCCGTGAGACTAGCGGTTCCGGAAGTGACTCGCCGGAAGGAGCATGGTTGCTTCCGGACCTGGCCAGCTGCGCACGCTGAATTGCCCGCGCCATGCAGTCCGATGATGTGAGTGGGTCTCCTGTTGCTCTGCCGCCCGGGGTTTAAGCAGGGTGTCCCGTCCTCTTTAGGCGCGACTCAGGCCGCATACTCAGCTGGCCCGTGTGTCCGGTGTGGCCCCGGAAGCGAGGCTTCCAGAGCCCCGATTTCCGCGCGCGGGGCTCTCACGTGTCCCCCGGGACCTCCCGCCCGCTGCCCCGGCGGGGCTAAGGAGCCAGGACACTGCCGCCTCGGCCCGAAGGGCCGGCGTGTCCAGTGCTTGGTGCCCAGCAATGACGGACCGTGCGCCTGGGCCTTGGGGACTCGGGAGGTGGGCGGGGAGCTGCGTGGGGCGAGTACGGCGAAGTTCAGCCGTCAAATTGAAGGATCCTTTTCATCCACGGGCACGCTCCTTTCCAGTCTGCCTTTCCTGTGTGGAGGTTTTTCTTTACATTTGTTCCACTGTCTGCTCAAGTCATAATTTTGGAAGCATCCTAGATTCATTCACAGAGTAATTTGCAGAAGTATTTGAGTGCTTACAGTGCGCCAGGCATTGTGGTAATTCCTAGGTACTTGACTGTTAATAAGCCAGACAGAGACCTCTGCTTCCCTGGAGACAGCGAACACGTGGACAGGTAAGGACAGCTGCAGTGTGTGACAGGACTAAGAAAGGCCAGAGGTGATGGAGAGGAGTTAGGAGAGACCGCTTCGGATGGGCCTGCTCAGTCAGGGAAGGCTTCTGCCTGGAAGACGCTGGAGCGCAGCCCTAAAGCAGGATAACGAACCGCCCCCGAGGGCCTGAGGGAGGAGCGGGCAATCCCGGCGTAGGAAAAGTCAAGTGCAAAGACCCGGAGGTAGGAGAGAAGGAATGTATGCGAGGACGCCGAGATCACGGAGAGTCTTGTACGAAGTGTTTGTAGGGGTCTTAATGGGAAGTGGCATCTGGTTTACATTCGTGAAAAGTGCTCTAGTTGTTGTGTAAAAGGTGTTTGAAGGAAAGAATGAAAACAAGGAGGCTAGAATATAATGAAAGAAGCTTCAATTAAGGCAGTCCTAGTGGATATTGAAAGAAATGGATAAATTTGAGATGTTTTATCAGTTTCGTAGACAAGACTTGGTGATGGTTAAATGAAAAAGAAGGGCGAAATCAAGGATTTTTGGATTTGAGCAAACAGTTCAGTGGTGGTTTTATTTCTGGAGATGAGGAGGACTGGGGGGGCACAGTATTTTGAGAAGTGTGGAAGAGAGAGCTCCATTTGGACATGCTAATGTGTATGATGCCTTTTAGACATCCAAGTGGAGATATCAAGTAAGCAGCTGGATGTATATACAAGTCTTATGCTAAGGGGAGAAGTTTGACCGGGAAATAACAATTCAGGAGTCATCAATTTAGAGATTATATTTAAAGACACTAGCTGGTCTGAGCTCTTAGTTTTCCAGTTTTTCCTCTGACCTGTTTCCTACCATCCCGTCAAACACATTCTACAAAATTCCAAAAATGTTGTTCCATTCTTCTGTGTTTATGTTTTCCCCCTGAACTGCTTTACAGCCTCTCCCAGCTCCTCAAGGCAGCTCGCTCTAGACTCCCATACCCTTATACACCTCTTTGTACTTAGATGGCTGCTTTGTGATGCTCTGTGTATGTACCTTTCTCCCTAACTAGATAGATAACACTATACCTTCCTTCATTCAACATACTTGAGTGCCTCTGGTATGTCAATGCCTTACATAAATACAATAAATGCTGAATGAATAAGTTACATGTTAGTGGCAGATAGCAATAGATAGTTATCCTTGCCCTCAGTGAGATAAATTTATGGCACGTATATCCAAAAATCTAGAACTCTGCAGCCTTTTACAATGGATAGTGAACATTTTAAGTAGTAAAGTTACAAAATATATAATATGATCACATTTTGTTGAAAACATACTAGTTCTTGGGATGTACACACATATAGAAAAACTAGAAAATATTTACAAATACTAATGAAATTTTACATCTGGGTAATGGGGTTATAGTTGGTGCTAATTTGTCTTTACTATAAGAATCTTTTGTTTGTGTAAAGAAAAGAAGTCATACTATTTTACAAAGCATTTTTTCCTCTCATTCCTCAAAGACTCCTTTCCCCAATAAAGCAGTAGACTGTCCTAGGGCATTGTTTCTTGTATTAATATGCCATCTATTGTTATCAAAGCAATTGAAATGGGTTTATACTTTGTCTTGCAGGTTATTTGGGATACACTAGGAAACAAGCAATTTTGTTCCTTCAAAATAAGGTGAGTCTAGATTTGCAACTTGAACAGAGATTCTTTAGTTACCCTCTTGCTAACCCGTCTTATAATGCTTGCTTTTCCTCACATTCTAGAACCAAGACACAGGGCTTTTGCAGAAATGAATACAGCCTGACTGGACTGTGTAACCGGTCGTCCTGTCCCCTGGCAAACAGTCAGTATGCCACTATCAAAGAAGAGAAAGGTAATGTCCAGTTTCAGCTTCCATGAGGACTACTTAACAGCTTTTCAAAGGATGTCTAGTCTCTCTAAAGAATATTAAAAGTATTTGTTTTGTCCTACAGGACAGTGCTTCTTGTATATGAAGGTGATAGAACGAGCAGCTTTTCCCAGGCGTCTCTGGGAAAGGGTAAGACTTGGAACATAAAGTTACAATAATAACCATTGATCGGGAACAAAAATGCCACATTTTTCTCTTTTCCTTGACCATATGTAAACTTTTGAAGCCATCCTCATTACGTCCCATCGGTGCTGTCACCCTTCCCCTTCAAGCTTCCTTTGTCTGTTTGATAGGTCCGGCTTCATAAAAACTATGAGAAAGCACTGGAGCAAATAGATGAAAATCTAATTTACTGGCCTCGTTTCATTCGACACAAGTGTAAGCAGAGATTCACCAAGATCACCCAGTACCTAATTCGAATTCGAAAGCTTACACTAAAGAGACAGTGAGTATCCAGATCGTTTATTTTTATTTTTTTTTAACGTTTATTTTTCTCGTGAATCATATTATGAGACTGAGAGGTTGTGAATCCTCTAGTAATGCCTTCTATAAAATCTAACATTGGGTAGCCTTTTGTGGTGTGCTAAGGAAAAACTTCACCTCTGATTAAAGGCGTGCCATTCGATTTTGTAGGATTTTAAAAACAGTGTAGTGCAGCTTGATTATCCCTTTCCTGTCTGAAAATCAGCTTCAGAACATTTTGTCTATAACTCCCTGAGGGAATCTTAAAATTAGGGACTTAAAAATAACCAAAAAACTATGAATAAACAGAATGTAAGAACTTTCCTCTGAGTTCAGTGAAAACTAATTTTTAAAAGTGATATGAAATCCACAGGCTTAATGGAATTACGACCTGCAGAGAATTCTAAAAATGTCAGACTTCTACAGAAAATTCCTCTCTTGTTCACTGAAGCGTTGTTAGCCCAGTGAATGTCCTCAAAAGTCTCAGAATGTCCAAAGAAAACAAAAACAGCCACATTAAAGTAGATACAAAAATGTCTGATATTTTTATAGCGTTAGATTTGTCTAGAAAGTTTTAAGTATACAATCTCGCTGTATTGAGCTGAACCCTACAGAATGAATTCCAGTCCTCCTTATTTTTTTAAAGGAGCACGTAGCACGTGTACTTGGGTTTTCTGACAATATGTTTTATTTCCTATAGGAGGAAACTCGTTCCTTTGAGTAAGAAGGTGGAGCGGAGGGAAAAAAGAAGAGAGGTAACTTACTCTGATACTCACCGCGTCTTATTTTTTCGTTGAGGGTGGGGCTGTGGAGGTAGGGCTCCTGAGAAGGATTCAGAGCCCATTGTCTGGGCACTGTTCAGGCCCTGGGTAATGGTTCACGAATGGGTAACAGTATTAGTTGCATAAGATACCTGATATTCCATATTTTAAGATTATGACTTTCGGGGCAGGTTAAAATGTGGGTGCTTGGGGATATATGTAATGGAGAACAGATAGAATCCCTTAAATAGAGATCACAACTTCTTATCTGAAATTCTGAAGGCCAGATGTTCCAGAACTCAGAATTTTGATAAGTTGCTGATCTTACATATTACCCTCAGCGGAGTTTGAGCATTCTAATCAAAAGCACTAGTAGTTTGACAGTGAAACATAAAGATGTTCATTCACACTAGATGGAATTTTTAAAATCTCTAACTAGACTCATGTTGCCTCAGGTAATACTAGGCCACTAAATTGAAGTGCTTTTTAATTATTATTTTGGAATCGCTAGTAAGAAACTGACTGGGATTATTTGTTTCTTTGAAGTACACTGGCCAGCTTTGTTACCAAAGTAATGACTAGTGATGTTAATAGTCTGCTGTCCATGGAAAATCTAGTCGGGAACCTCCAGCCTTTGTCGCAGAGAGCAGTCTGCCTCTCCACTCGCTGGTACTTCACTCAAGCTGAATTTCCTTATGCTTTCCAAGACCCAGGAATTAGCTTTTCCTGGCAAGTTCAACTATTCATTCATTCTAGGTACTTGCTTTGCTTACGTCCCTTCTAGCAATAGACATTTACCTGATCATTTCTCAAACTGTCCAGAAATAACTTTAATAATCTTAATACTTTTGTTTCCATTAATTACAGAGTTCTGTATCTCAAATCTATTTTATCATTGGTCTTCAAACTTTTGATCACTCAACCCCTCAATAAGATTTTGAACATGTGCTCCCCAGTATATCATTTATAAATGTTATACATGTCTACTTGTGCTCATAGGTATAATTGTTTGTGATGGCCTGGCTCTTAGCTGAGTATCAGTTTGTCTTTACGGGCTCTTATGATTGATAGGTATGTCAGGAATACTTAGAGAAGTGCATTGTGGATTGTTTGCATTAAGTAGTTGCTCTTTATTTTCATTCGCCACCACCAATTGTTAAACAGGTGTTCACACAAACCTTTCAGAAGTTAAATTTTTCTATTTTTATCAAATAATTTCAAAGGCCTCTGGAAAATGTGGATTTGGAAGATTTTAAATGGGTTGGGAAATTATGACTCCAAATTTTTTAAGTGTGTGGTTGAAATATTTATACGAGACATGTTTTCAGCAATGTCATATATAGATATAATCCTTTTAAGGTGTTCTATCTGCAGAACAATTTTTTCTTTCTTTTAAAAAAAACAGGTAAAATATTCCCTTTCCCTTGAAAGAACAGATAAGAACATTTACTTTTTAAAACTCCTGCTACATTACGTACTACTGACAGCCATTGGTCATTCTAGAAAAGGTTGGCAAATTTGGAACATTTAGTGATGTGGAAAAATGCATGATCCTTTAAGTTCTACAATTCTTTTTAAGTACTAAACCATTAAATAACCCACATACTTTATAACTATGCCCTATCTTATTGCAAACAATTCAGTATCACCTGTAAATCCACATAACCACGCAAACATAAACAGCTGTATGTTGTAATAAATCTGAGGGAGTGAGATCACCACTTCCAAACTTTTTGTGTAGTATTTCTCCCTCAGGATATGTTGTTCACTGTATCTATTTGCTATTTGCTCTGCGGGCAGAGTTAAGGCACCAGTGTCAGTATGCATAAAAATACTGAAACATTAAATTGTGAACATTTTCTTCCTCCATCTCAGTGGGTTGCTTTTGAGGTGTAAACACCAACTTTGGAGGAGAATATAGAATATGACAGTAGACTTAACTGACCCATGTGCCCATCTTCTGTATTGTGATTTACCTGACACACTGTTCATCATGCTAACATGGCTTCACTGTAACACTTTGAAATCCTCTGATTTTCACTAATTAATGCACCATCTTGGTCTAGAAAGGTGGATTGAGGTTCGATTTGTTTTGGTTGTGGGTGGTACAGGTTGATGTCATGTATCATTTCCTATGAAAGACTGTTGAAGGAAGAGAGGTTTGTTTTGTTTTGGGGTTTTTTGGTATCACATGGGATCTAACATGGTTTTAGAAGACCTAAATGAGGTGAAGGTATCTGTTCCCTTTTCTGTAAGTCTGCTTCAGGATTGCTACTTAAATGTATGTAGACCTACCCGCTTTTATATCTATCAAAGGCTTTGTTGGAATTTAATTTAGAATGCAAGTTTATAAAAACCAGGAATTTTTTAACTTGAAAGGTTCCCAAGAACGTTTGAGAGGTAAAGAAGAAATATATCTAGTTGGAGTCCAGCCGGGCGTGGCTCAGCGGTTGAGCGTCAACCTAGGATCCAGGCGATCGGGGTTCGATTCCTGGTCAGGGCACATGTCCGGGTTGCGGGCTCGATCAATGACTTTCTCATCATTGATGTTTCTCTCTCTTTCCCTCCCTCTCCTATCCTCTCTCTGAAATCAATAAAGATATATTAAAAAAAAAAAAAAAGAAAGAAAGAAATATATCTAGTTGGAGAGGCAAAAGCCCCCATAACAGCAAGAGGGAGAAGTGATTACATCTTCTTTCTTAAAAAACTTGATAGTTTCTTCTACTTCTACAGGCTGAAAGTGGGTACGAATTAAGTCAATGGGTTTGCTCTTTTTCTCGTACAGGAAAAGGCACTAATAGCTGCTCAGCTGGACAATGCCATTGAAAAGGAACTGCTGGAGAGACTTAAACAAGATACGGTGAGAAAGCTACGAGCTTGGGGTACAAATGTTATTTTTTAGGTGGTACTGTCATGCTAGGCAATGCGGGAATAGTTTAAAGATGCTAAAAGGATGTTCATCTTGATTTTATTCCTGGAATAAACAACGTATGGGTCCCAGCGTCTTCATTTTAGTTTGCTGGTGCAAGCACGTAAAATGCTCTGGCATTCTTGATGCTCCATTCAGGATACGACATTCCCTTTGCCAGTGTTCCCCTCTCCTGCTCCCAAATGCAGCAGCTCCTCACCTCTGTGGAAAAGCCACCAGGGTTTGACCCTCCTGCCTTTCCTCAGGTTCTTTAAAACAAATTTTTATTCTCTTTTTAAGATTTAATGTCACAGAGACAACATGAATAAATTTTTTTATTTTTTTCCCCTTTGTCAGCAAAATTTTCCATTTGTTCTAATCCTTGGGTTTTATACACTACTAAGTTTTAAGTGGTTTTCTTCCATCATTCATAGAAGTTACCAGTTTGGTATTAACCACTGACTATTTAAGTGTCAGAAAAGACACTGCCAGTTCTAGGCTTGAAAATAATATAGAAATATTACTCATCAAATTAAGTATTCCCATTTCACTGAGGAAAAAATAATATGTTTGCCAGACAGTGGACTTAAGTGTTAGATCCCAGTATAGCAAACCAGTCTGTTTGTGTCCTTCAGTATGGCGATATCTACAACTTCCCCATCCATGCCTTCGACAAGGCCCTGGAACAGCAGGAGGCAGACAGTGACTCTTCAGATGCTGAGGAAAAAGATGAAGATGATGAGGAAGAAGTAAGCCTTGTTTGTATTTTTGCTTTGTCAAGCAGTGATCTATAGGACTAGATCTATTTTAATGTAATTGAGAGACAGGATGTCATTTTCAGTCCCCTAACCAAAATAATTAATTGATCTTATTTTTCTATCGTGAGGTTAATTCTGGTTCAGCAGTGGCTGCTGTGTTCTCCAGGTTCGGTTAACAAAGTACTCGTTGACAATTTTAACCTTACTGATGGGCATTCTAACATGTTTCCTGTAAGATGACAAATGAAGAACCCTCATCAACTGATAGATATACCATTAAGGAACCTACTGAAATTTACAAGGATTTAATTTTACTGTTAACACAGGAAAGGTATTTAAGTGGTAGTATTTTTAGGAAAAGGGCAGATGTAGCAAGTAGATGTTTAATCACACAGTATACTGGGTGATTACATAGGTACAGAGGCATACTTTCCCTTACTGGTAAACTATTTTTCATTATTTGAAATTAATTTAGTTGAATGTATAAAGAATTACTTGTAAATCTTACATACTGATTTCAGAAGTAAAGTAGATTTGGGTTGCCTAGCAAGTAGATTCTGATTCTGATTATTTATGCATTTATCAAAGAATAAAACTAGATGCCTAAGTTGAATTTTCATGATTTATTTTGAACCTTAACAATTATGTTTTATTTTAGGATGTGGGGAAAAGAGAGTTTGTGGAAGCTGATGAGGTGGATGAGAGTGACATAAGTGATTTTGAGGTGAGACTTACGGGTAAAAGAATGGAGGGTTTCCAAACACACAGAGGCGGATAAATTCTCTAGTTTGTTCGAAATTGAGAGGACAGTGGAGTTGGGGGGTGATCCTAGCGTCTTCTCTTTTTTTTCCCTTCCCATGTTAGGATATGGATAAACTGGATGCCAGCAGTGATGAAGATCAGGATGAGAAATCCTCCAGTGAGGATGAAGAAAAGGCCCTTGATGCCAAACACAAAGGCAAAACGCCCTTGAAAGGACCTCTGCTGAGAAAACGAGCATATGTGGAGATCGAGTATGAGCAGGAGACTGAGCCTGTGGCCAAGGCCAAAACCACGTGATTTCCCTTCAGAGATTTATAGCAGGACTGAACATTTTGAACTTTATCCTGTCCTCATCACACACAGACCTCCATTTTTACTCTTTATGTTGTATTTAACGCAATATTTGTGTTTTTGATATTTATGCCACNTGAAGAACCCTCATCAACTGATAGATATACCATTAAGGAACCTACTGAAATTTACAAGGATTTAATTTTACTGTTAACACAGGAAAGGTATTTAAGTGGTAGTATTTTTAGGAAAAGGGCAGATGTAGCAAGTAGATGTTTAATCACACAGTATACTGGGTGATTACATAGGTACAGAGGCATACTTTCCCTTACTGGTAAACTATTTTTCATTATTTGAAATTAATTTAGTTGAATGTATAAAGAATTACTTGTAAATCTTACATACTGATTTCAGAAGTAAAGTAGATTTGGGTTGCCTAGCAAGTAGATTCTGATTCTGATTATTTATGCATTTATCAAAGAATAAAACTAGATGCCTAAGTTGAATTTTCATGATTTATTTTGAACCTTAACAATTATGTTTTATTTTAGGATGTGGGGAAAAGAGAGTTTGTGGAAGCTGATGAGGTGGATGAGAGTGACATAAGTGATTTTGAGGTGAGACTTACGGGTAAAAGAATGGAGGGTTTCCAAACACACAGAGGCGGATAAATTCTCTAGTTTGTTCGAAATTGAGAGGACAGTGGAGTTGGGGGGTGATCCTAGCGTCTTCTCTTTTTTTTCCCTTCCCATGTTAGGATATGGATAAACTGGATGCCAGCAGTGATGAAGATCAGGATGAGAAATCCTCCAGTGAGGATGAAGAAAAGGCCCTTGATGCCAAACACAAAGGCAAAACGCCCTTGAAAGGACCTCTGCTGAGAAAACGAGCATATGTGGAGATCGAGTATGAGCAGGAGACTGAGCCTGTGGCCAAGGCCAAAACCACGTGATTTCCCTTCAGAGATTTATAGCAGGACTGAACATTTTGAACTTTATCCTGTCCTCATCACACACAGACCTCCATTTTTACTCTTTATGTTGTATTTAACGCAATATTTGTGTTTTTGATATTTATGCCACTTCTATGGGGCAAGAAATCTGGGAGAGAGTGGAGGAAATCTTTAAAGTTGTAAACAGAGTATTTTTATAGCTTTGGCATGTGTTGAGGTGACAGCTTGAGCCCAAGAAGCTTAACAGATGAGTTTGTGGTTGTAAATATTTCTAAGTTTTAAATGCTACCCACCCTGGGTGCCCCCCAACTTTATTCAGAAAAGTTCTGACTTTTTTTTTCTTGTCCCTTCCCTACTTCTTTGGGAGTAAAAGGAAAAAGATCTAGATTATAATGTATAACAATACCTTCTTTCTCAAATAATTCCACTTATACAACAAGAAAATCCTCTTCTCTTTAAGAAATATGGATCTCAAGTCCCACTGTAGGGCTCGCTGTCAGAAACCCGCTGCACCTTTCTGATACAGCTCACCACCTTGCTGTCTTCGCAGCTTTGGGGGATTTTGGCCAGGAGACCCTGAAACATGAAACCAAACAGTCTTTGATATTTTTTGTTATTTTTTTTCTTATACCTTGGTTCTTCTTTCCTGGTACCATACTCAAAGAAGGAAAGACTGGATGACACTAGAGGCCAGTTCACAGAACAAGTGTAACTAAGAACTGTTGGCTTGCTTGGAAATGTCCTGCTGCTCATGAAGCAGCAGCTTAATACCAGCTGAGGCGAATTACATTGGATCTAGGACTTGAAAACTGCCTGAGGTTAAAGGGCCGAGATGAAATTTAATCTGACAAAACTAATAAAACAACAAACTATACTATCTCTAAATATTTTTAGGATATGAATTTCTTTTCATGCTTTTTATTCCTTTTCAACTGAAGACTTCTAAATGGGGTAAGAAGTGAACAATAGTTTATTAAATATCCATAAATACACATATAGCTATTACATGCTATGGCTTTGAGAAGTTATCTTTTGGAGAATATGAGACCAAAGAAATAATTCCCATGTGGTAAATAAGAACATAGACAAACACACATGCCTCTGCAGAACTGGAAACATTTCTGGGATCTAAATTACTCTATTATTACTGCATGGTGGCTACAGCCCATTATTTCACCTGTTTTTTTAATTTAATGACTGGAACAGAACTTATATTTTACACTTGATCGTGATCCTTTTGTCCATTCTCTGTCCTAGCTCCAGAGATGTTTTCTAATTCTCCTGCCTTTTGGTCTGAACAGCTCTGAGTACCTTTGCTCAAACTCTATTGAAGGCTAGAGGGCTGCAGAGGTGGAGACCTGAACCCTCCATGCTCATTTAGACTTGGTCAGGCACATGGATAGTAAATCATAGGAATTACTCAAGGATACAAGGCCTAACTGAAGCCATGCTGCAGACTGTCCCTTACCTTCACTTGTCCTTTAGAGCAGTGGTCCAGGAGAAGCAGGCAGTCTGTGGCCGCCTCTAACAAGGCACTCTTAACAGGCTCAGGTGTAAGGCTTGGATCCCTTGCTACATCACATATCAGTTTCAAGAGAGCCTTCAATAAGACCACAAGTCTACAGGAAATTCTGAAATCAAGAAGAAAAACCATGTTCATACTCTAATCAGGACATTAAGCTGGAGACTTCAAACTTCATCTAGTATAAAGCCCTCATTTTATAAATGAAGGAACTGAAGTCAAACGACTTAAAGGCCACAGAGCTGGAAGCAGAACCAGAGACCAGACTCAGATTTCTNCTTCAATAAGACCACAAGTCTACAGGAAATTCTGAAATCAAGAAGAAAAACCATGTTCATACTCTAATCAGGACATTAAGCTGGAGACTTCAAACTTCATCTAGTATAAAGCCCTCATTTTATAAATGAAGGAACTGAAGTCAAACGACTAATTTCAACTCCTGCTGTTTTCTACAGCACACTGCCCATATACACACACTGACCTGCCTGAGAATACGTGCTCCCCTCCAGAAGCCTGGTTCCACTCTAAGGAAACAACCCCTCCTGAAAAGGGAGAACTGGGATTTCCCCTTGCCAGGGGCCTATACTTTTGGCCAGACAGCAGGAGACGGTCCATAGGCCTTTGGGAAGTTGAAAATAAAATGAGGTAAATAAGCTTGGCTTCTGGTACCTAAGTGTCAATTATGTCACTTAATGCCAGATTCTAGCTTATCATCCGTTAAGCCCAGCCTATTTACTTACTTATACTTACTAGCCTTTCTAAAAGTTTTATCTTGATAACAAAAAAAAAGTCCTGGAAATGGATAGTGCTGATGGCTGCACAAAACTGGAAATTTACTTAATGCCACTGAACTGTACATTTTAAAATAGTAAATTTTTTTTCTCTTACCACAATAAAAACTAAAAAGCCTTAATAGAAGCTAGAAAGTAATACTAACTTGTGTGAAAATATGCATAATAAACCATATTTCTGGACAACAATATGACTGGGAAAAGTCTGCACCCACTACCCTGATCTAAAAAATATTAAATGTTTTCCTATACTCTGTGTACTGCTTCACCTTCCACCTGTCATTGTTCAATATATAATGTTTCCCAAGCGCCGCCCCTCCAGAATACATCATCATTTTCTAACCCCTACATTTGCTTGCCAATCTCTTGTACTTGGAATCCTGGTCTCTGCTCTTTCAAGGCCTGACAGTATTAATTGGATTCAGTTTCATGTCTCCATCTATTCTGTTATAGTCCACTCCGTCTTCAAACACCTGTGTACTTAACGCCAGGCACTGAGTACACTTTGGTATGCTCAGTATACCGAAGTGGCCTTCCACCCTCCCTCACAGTCAGTAGGGGGAGAGGGCAAACATGCAGTCTGGTTACAAACATGAGTTAGGCAAACACTTGGGTTACATTACAAAGAAATGAGATAACATGGTTCAGTATAGATATGTATGTTGCCGAGGCACTGGATTCTAGATTAATTAAACCTTGTTATTTCATGCAGGAAAGCCTTTTGTTGCCCTGGCTGGTGGCTCAGCTGGTTGGAGCACTGTCCTGTATACCAAGAGGTTAAGGGTTCAATTCCCAGTCCGGGCACACACCTAGACTGGGGGTTCGATCCTGGTCCAGGCCCATACAGGAGGCAACTGACTGATGTTTCGCTCTCATATCCATTTCTCTCCCCCACTTCCTCTCTTTCTAAAATCAAAAACAATCCTTGGGTGAGGATTAAAAATAAAACTAAAAGCCTTCTGTGGATTTCACATGGTTCGGTACCAGCGTATTGCTCCTGACACCTAATTCAAGCCAAGCTGGAATGCTTTCTAAGCAATCACACCCGAAAGTAGTATTCTCCTGATCACTGTTCATTAATGCGCTATGAAGTGCTCTGGTCTCAAATGGACATAAAAAACATGAGGATGAGTCAAGTTAGGCTTGTCTTGATTGGAACACTTCTACATGGCTTTTAAATTTAGTGTGCCTTAGATGTACACCTGAAGCAACAATGGTACATTTTACCTTTTGTGTGACATTTTCTCAGTTCAAAAGCCAATAGGTGTGTAAAAATGGGAGGTATTCAAACACATGGCATGTCCTTAATTCTCTGTACTGCGTGTACATCTGGGCAAGTTCTGAAAAGAGTCTGATTCTGCCCCTCTCGCCACACTTGTCTGCTGGCTGTTATTATACCTGGGCCAAGTATACTGCATGAGAAGTTTTAGGGTTTCCAGTATCTTCAACCTAGCCTCCTCCTCTGGTCCATCATAAACCTCCAGGTAACCAAGGATGACTCGCTCCAGCCTCTTCAAGTGCCGGACAGTTAGGATCCCCAACCTACAAACAAAAGAGAAAAGGTGACAGCAAAGGGATGAAGTCAAGGAGTACCAACAGTCCAGCAACCCGGGCACTCACCTCTTCACAAAAGCTGGGAGGCTTCCTGCATAGGTCCTGCGTAAGAGAATGCGGTGCTCTGGCTCCATGTGGGTCAGGATCAGCTGCAGCACCTCATCACAGTGCGTGGTGGGTCGAGCTGCACCTCCCTTCCACTGCAGGGCTTTCTCCAGGACTGGAAATAGATCCAGCAGACACAGGAGCACAGCCTAGGAGAGAGTAATGGAAAGGAACTGCAGCTGTCCATTTGCATTCACAACACTCCCTGAGGTTTCTAGCAACTGTATTAATATAATGTCATAGAATTCTAAAAGTACTAATAATACATTAAGTATACATTATTTTATACTTTCTAACTCTTTTTTTACATTATCTCCATCTGACAGTCTCAAATAAGTTAATACCTCCTCAGGACTGTTCTTTACTAAGCTATAAAATGGGAAGAAAGGCAGAGCTTGGGCTTTAACCCAAATTTTAGGAGTCTGAGTCCATTGTCACTATATTACTAAGTCTAAGTGATATTTACATGAACTTAAAATAAAACGGCTCGTAAACAGAATCTAAGATGGTCCCCATACATGTCCAGCTGGACCACCCCATCTGAAGTTTCAGTGTCTAGAGTGTCTAGGCAATCTCTTCTAGCTCTCCTGGGCAATTTGGTTTTGGTTTTTCTCTTAATTTTTTGGTAGTGTTTTTACCTTCTTAAATACCATCTCAAGTCCTAACCTTTCTGGCTGTTAGGACCTGGATTCTCAATATCTAAAATAATAGCTAAAAAAATGAAAGGTGGCAAGGTGGGGGTTAAGGGTGGGTAGTCATAAAATAAGAAACATGGTTATTTCTACCTCTAATTTTATATAACTTGTTTCTTCTGTCTTGAGAATACTCCTCCCCCTCCCCAATAAACTCCTCCTTACCCTTCACAAGCAAGTACCACCTCCTACAGAAGCCTCCTAACCACCCGCCACCAAGCCTGATTAGTGCCTATTGCTGGACACCCACCGTACTTCACACACAACTGTTTTAATAGACTTGTCACTCTGTCCTGTAGGCATATGTACAAATGTTCATATATTTACATAAATATCTCCCAAAGGGTTTCTTAAAGCCAGAAACGCCGTCTGATTCATTCACTCTTGGAACCTATAATGGTTACTGGCACACAGTAGGTACCCAATGTCTACTGGATGAAAGAATAAATGACACACATCCAACATACAAGGGGTTTCAAGTGTATGTGTGGATGATAAAGCAGCACAAAAGACACAATAAAAATAGAACTTTTTTAGACACAAAGTTGTCCCCAAGTGATATGTGACTCAGATGAAGACAAAACACTGGCTTTTCTGTGGCTGCTCAAGAATGTGGATGCTGGCGTGGAACTGAGATACCTTCCTCCGTCATTGCTGCCCCCACATTTACAGCTCGGCAATGGCCTTTACTCATCCTCACTTTACAGGAGAAGAAATGTCTCTCAACTATTCTTACTCACCTACTGCCACCTTCCACGCAAAGCTGAGACTCACAGTTACCAACCAACCTTACAATTACCTGAATGAGGTGGTGCTCCGGTGTATACAGATGGTTGAAAAGGGCATGGTATAGGACCTGGGCCCTGTTATACTGGAGCAGATCAGCAGCTGGCTGCAATCAGACAAATCACCCAATTAAAAGAAAAGTTAGCCAAGTTTGGCAATTATGAATACATGGATTATGAATATATGAGATTCATTATACCACTCTCTCTACTTCTGTGTATATTTAAAAAGCTCCATGACACAGTTAAGAAGGAAAGAAACAAAGTTCCTCAAGTAATAGCTTGCACATTTGGGTATAATCCTTCTCAGTTTGATTTTTTTGCTCCTTGAAAGTCAACTATTAATTACTCAAAGTCTGGCTATTCAGTTTGACAACAGCCTATGTTTCTTACGTATATTTCCCATGAGATATAACCTCTACTAGGTTGGCAGATGGAATGAATATAAAAAGGAAAAGTAAATAAGTGAATTTAGTCACATAACAGCATTAACAGAAAGCCAGTTAATAAAAAATATAAACATAGGCAACAATAAAATAGTGATATCATGAACAGGGAAGAGCCATATGACTCAGTCTGCTTACCACATTAAGCACAATGTGATGGAGGCACTGGACACCCAGAACTTTGTTCTCAGTTTGATAGTCATCCGAGATGAGCAATGACGGGGGAAGTATCCTTTCTAGATGTTGGTTCAGCCAGGGCCAAGTGACCTGTTGCAGAGTCCATGAGAAAACGTGCTTGGTGGCAGGGCTATTCTTCCATGATTCCCTAAGGGGGATGTGAAATCAAATTAAGTAAAGTGACATGCTGTTAACTAGCAAAGAAAGTTAAGCTAAACAGAGTATTTCCTTGCCTTTGAAAAGAATACATCCCACATAAGGGAATTCCTGATGTTATACATTTTAAGATTTGGATCAAAATAATTTACAGAACTTAAACTAAATACACTTAACATTCACCCAGAGCTCTGGGTTAAAGCTTATCCAATGAGAAGTAGTCATTCATAACCACAGCAATGTAAAGGATCTGTGGCAGTGTCAGAGCTGGATACAGTGAAGAAAAGTGGAGAAGGGAGAGATGAGTAACAGAATGTCTTCAGATTAAGGGAACAAATGAATCAATATTTGAACAGCAATTTGTAGCTTATAAAATTAGTTTGCACACATTACTCAACTAATCTTCAAAATAACTGTAATAGGTACTATTATCTTTATATTACAAATAATGAAACTGAGGTTCAGAGATGATCTGATCTGGTCCAGCTCAGAAGCAATAAAGGGAAGCACCATCAACCTCAAAACTACGCCTTTTAATTCCAAGTTCTGAGTAAAATGACAGTTACTTACATATTTTTTTCAATTACTACAGTGTTACAGATACCCTTGCAGGACATTGGGGCCTATCAAGAACACCCATGGAGACATGTAGTCCACACCAACTAGTCCTTGAAATGTGATCCTGTCCAAAACATCCATAAGCATCTTTGATCCATGCCAAATGGTCCTTGACATTTGATCCTGTCAACAATGTCCACACTTAGAAAATGTCTCTGAGTTCAAAGAGCCCATAACGTTTATTTATACTCCCAGTTTACAGGTTTAATACATAAAATACTATCATGTTTTAATGGTCCAATAATTGTGTTGTAACTGTATTGCAATAATAACCCTTCTCAACCGGATAGACTCCCTGGTCATGACACATGGGGTTAGGTAGATGGGCTGGCATGGACCAAATGTCTTTGTGGATGTTTTGGACAGGATCAAATTTCAAGGACCTTTTGGCTGGATCAAATGTCTCCATGGTCCTTTTGGACAGGAGCAAATGTCAGCTAATCACATATATTAAAATGCGAAGTAGCAAGTGGAAACTCACAAAAAATACTTTAATAGCAACCTAAAGCTGTTATTTTTCATCCCAAACACTGCTTCCATATCTAATAACTATCCCTGTCTACTAGCAATGAGTTTCAAGATCTCTAAACTTAAGTTCAAAGCATAAGTTTAAATCCTGTCCAAACTCTCATCCTCACCTAAGAAATTTAAGTCTAAATAAATGAGACAGAACTTGCAATTTCCAGGGCAGTCGTCATGAGGACTGGAAAGAACAGTAAAACACAGAGTCTGAAGACCTGTATGCTAATGTCAAATTTACCAATATCTAGTTATGTCATTTTTAGCGAGTCCCAACCTTTCTGGGCCTTAACAGATCTGCTGTTAAAGCATCTTTACCTTACTGATGAAGAAACCAAGGTTCCTTTGAGCTCTAACATTCTAACACGGGCTGAAGTCCAATTCGTTGGCCCTTTTCCTGCAGGGGTACTCACTTATTCAAATCGGGCTTAAGAAGCCCCATTATCACAGCAAATCTCCCTTTCTCGTCTTCATTTTCTCCGCGGAGGAATCCTGCCACAGAACCACACTCGCTGACGCGAAGCAGTAAAGCGAGCACCTCTCCAGCCACGTCCCGAGATCTTGCCCTGGTCCACGGTTGCTCCAAACTGTGTGTGATGGCAAAAACATAGATGGGCCCTGCCAAACGGCGCAGGCCTCTCTTCCAGGCATGGCAAACCAAGGAGTGCTTGGCTGACTCAACTTTCCTCAACAGCCTGATGAACAGGAACCCAACTGCTGCCGCTTTCTCGGCCACCGCAGGGGAACCATCACCGCCACCTTCCTGCTCCTTGGGTGGGGCTGCATACTCTTCGAGGGCTTTTGCCACCTCGCCCAGCATCTCGGGCATCCCACCGAGCGACGAGCCATTCCCCTCAAATAACTGATCACACTCGGTGGCTTCCAGGAGAGCGCTGAGGTCTTCAAGAGCTGCGTTTCTGGCCTTGCCGCGTCGGGACTCCGGGCCGGTAAGATGGAGCAAAATCTGGGACAAGGCCAGTCCGAGGGCGGAAGAAGGCGCCTCCCCAGTCAAAGAGGCGCCCGCCGGCGCTGGGGGTTCCATGCGGGGCCGCTGAACCAGAGGCCGGGTGTCCCCAGGGGACGACGATGGAGACGGGGAGGGATTCGCTAAGGAGGGCCGGGAAGATCACCGGACGCTGGAATTCTCCTAAAAACCAGAACTAAAACCAAATCAAACCGCGACACACCTGGGCGGAGGGAGGGCGAGTCTGAACAGCCTGAGTAAAACGGGCGTAAAGCACAAGACGCGGAAAAGGGAAAGGGACCTCTCCGGGAGTAGTAACAGGATCTCAGACTCTCAACAGTGGAGCAGAGAAATTACTCCTGCCTTCCTGAAGACTCAAAAACAAACAACCCTAAAGCTTGATACGAAAACGACCGCCGGTACCTGCAGCCCTTCCCGCACATGCTGAGCCTATCAGGCTACGGACCGAGTTAACGTGGTTGCCGCAAAGCACCGCCGGTGCTGCGTCAACTCTAAGTTATTTCACGACCTACTATCGTAAAGCAATAAAGAGGCAGGTCCGTAAAAGGGTGGGGCTACTACGAAAAATTTGCATAGAGGTTGATTCCCTCGATAATTTTGTATGTTTTCACTTCCCTAACGTAGAAAAAAAGAGAAAACCTGCAGAATATGACTGATATTTCAAAACCATATAGGATCTTTGCGCGGCGACCGAATATATGTGGGTTGTGTCGGTCACCCTTTATGTAAACTGAGTGAGCCCTACTCGAGAGTCCCGACCGCGGCGGCCGCGCTGATCCTTTTGTAGTTCATGAGCGTGATGATTGGGTGTTCACGCCGCTGTGTGACATGTGCCGCCCACGAACCTTGTTACGACGCGGGCACATTACCCGTCTGACGTGAACTTGGAGGATCCTTTTAACCTGGGGCCGCCGCGTGATCTGTGCCGCTCGTACCTGAGCAGTTTCCCGTCGGGTCGGGTGGGGCG